AAGCAAGCTAATAAATAACCGATGTATTTTGTGTTGATAAATTAAAAAATTAAGTTGACTATTAATTTGAGGTCTAAAAATCAGTTCTCTGCATGTGTTCTCACACAACTTAATCAAGAGCACAAGGAACACGCTCTCAAAGACTTTTCAATAAAAGTTATGTACAAGTTCAAGGGGAATTTCAAAACTTCAGCCTCTTTTTTTTTTTACACCCAAAATAACCGATTTTTTGAAAAAAAAAAAAATCTGAAGAAATAGCTTTCATTCGACTATGTACAAAGCAAGCAAGCTAATAAATAACCGATGAATTCGTGAATCACCTCTGTATTTTGTGTTGATAAATTAAAAAATTAAGTTGGCATCCATTTCATTTCATTAATTCAGTCCAGAAAATGCAAAACTGACATTTAACTATAACTATAAAGAACGAGAGACAAAGACTCTGACTCCAGCCATTGTAACAACAACCACTGAGACAAAGACTTTATTACAATCCTAACAATGGCAGCAAGCTCACTCAAGCATTCAGGTGGGTGGGACACATCTAAACCCCTATGTCATGCATATGGTTATCTCTCACCTTCGTCAATTTCATTTCATTATTTCATCCAGAAAATACAAAATTGGCATGTAAATTTAGAGAATGAAAGACTGAGACCTTAAACCAAGGTGGTTGGTGTGAGTGGTTCGGCACTCTCATTCCTTAAGAGAGGTCAGGGGTTCGATCCCTGCTCTCATACGGAGTCACCACTTTGGCCAACACGTTACCCCTTATGGGCCGACCCGGTGTGAGTGGGGATTAGTCTGGGTTGTGGTTAAGGCTTAAAGGTGCCACCCATAATTGGGGCCCATCCAAGACCACCTCATGGTTTAGACAAAAAAAAAAAAAGACTGAGACCTTCACTCAAAAGAAAACTGAATGGCGTGGATGAAATTGCATTGACGAGTTATTCCTCTACAAATTTGTTGGGGACAGCTGAAGTGGATTAATTTTTCCACTAAAGCAAAGCAAGAAGCATGTTTTGTCTGAATTGTTCTAGTCGTGACAGGACTATACCATTTCCTCTGTCTGGCTAGCGCACTTTCAGGGTTAATCACTTTGAGAAAATGCAAAAGTTGTTTTTTTCAACTTTGAAGAAAAGGAACAAAGAATTTCAGTGTGAAAACCCCAAACCGTTGTTACTTAGAAATGTTTTTCCTTGTGAGAGGGAAAGAAGAAATGAAACCATAATTTCATTGTCCAATGCCATGGTGACATTCAGGTGTGAATTTGAGGTCCAAGAAGACCACGGGTTCTCACACAACTTAATCAAGAGCACAAGGAACACGCTCTCAAACACTTTTCAATGCTCAACTGAACCCCAAAGACTAACCCACACTATATATAAGTAGTAAGGCATGGCCCATACAATATATGTATACCACACAAACAACAACCATGACATCTTCAACTTCCTCTAAACTATGCTTCCTGCCTTATTGCCTTGTCATCTTCTTGTATGTTTCATCACCAAATTGGGTTGCTTTTCCTTATGCTACTTCTACTTATCATACTGAAGCAAAGGCTCTTCTCAAATGGAAAGCCAGCTTATTTCCAAATCAAGCCCTCAACAACCTCACCTGGTACGACCCTCCCACTCATAATATTAATGCCACCAATTCTTCCAGCACCAATCCAAAACCAAGAACAAGCCCATGCACTTGGACTGGTGTTTCATGCAACGCAGTTGGAAGTGTCAGCAAGCTAAACCTTTCCACTTGTGGTATTCAAGGTACGCTACATGAGTTTTCATTCTTGTCCTTCCCTAATCTTGAATATCTTGACCTCAGCTTCAACAAACTCTTTGATGTCATCCCACCTCAAATCAGTAACCTCTCCAAACTCCACCATCTTGATCTCTCTATGAATAAGTTCTCCTGGAGAATCCCACCAGAAATCGGTCTCCTGAGAAATCTTACGTTTCTTGGTCTCTATGAGAATACACTTTTTTGTATAACAATAAACTCAATGGTTCAATTCCAAGATCACTAGGTGATCTAACAAGCCTTACCATTCTTTATCTCTATGGTAATCAACTTTCTGGTTTGATTCCCAAGGAGATAGGGAACTTGAAATCTCTTGTAGATCTAGAGTTGTCCCGCAACAATTTAAGTGGTCTCATCCCTCCAAATATTGGTAACTTAATAAACCTAAACACTTTGTACTTGCATTTTAATCAACTTTCTGGTTTGATTCCCAAGGAGATAGGGAACTTGAAATCTCTTGTACATCTATCGTTGTCCTACAACAATTTAAGTGGTCTCATCCCTCCAAATATTGGTAACTTAATAAACCTAAACACTTTGCACATCTTTTCCAATCAACTTTCTGGTTTGATTCCCAAGGAGATAGGGAACTTGAAATCTCTTGTAGATCTACAATTGTCCCACAACAATTTAAGTGGTCTCATCCCTCCAAATATTGGTAACTTAATAAAGCTAAACTATTTGATCTTGCATTCCAATCAACTTTCTGGTTTGATTCCCAAGGAGATAGGGAACTTGAAATCTCTCGTAGACCTGATGTTGTCCTATAACAATTTAAGTGGTCCCATACCTCCAAATATTTGTAACTTAATAAAGCTAAACACTTTGTGCTTGAATGACAACCAACTTTTTGGTTTGATTCCCATGGAGATAGGGAACTTGAAATCTCTTGTAGATCTAGAGTTGTCTAAAAACAATTTTAGCGGTCTCATCCCTCCAAATATTGGTAACTTAAAAAACCTAAACATTTTGTACTTGCATTCCAATCAACTTTTTGGTTTGATTCCTAAGGAGATAGGGAACTTGAAATCTCTTTTAGATCTAGAGTTGTCCTACAACAATTTAAGTGGTCTCATCCTTCCAAATATTTGCCAAGGCGGAAAACTCGTGAACTTTTCAGCAAGCACAAACTATTTGACCGGTCCAATCCCCAAAAGCTTGAAAAACTGCACGAGCTTATTCAGAGTCCATCTTGACCATAACCAATTGACAGGCAATATATCTGAAGACTTCGGTGTTTATCCGAATCTTGATTTTATGACTATAAGCCACAACAACTTCTATGGAGAAATCTCACACACCTGGGGACGATGCCCAAAGCTGACAACCCTACAAATGGCAGGAAACAACCTTACTGGCAGCTGTTTGTGCCTGATAAATCACGGCCATAAGTTGGCCGAGGGGGCCCTTTCTCTCGGCCCTGGCACTTATTCGCAGAAGCTGAAACGCAGCGTTTCGCCAGGGTATTTCGCCTTCCTAAAAATAAAAGAGGAAATGCCAAGGCATGATCATCTCGGCCTCAAGCGTAGGCCGAGGCCGAGGCCGAACAAAATTGCGGCCAAGGCATTAAAGGCAAATCATCATGTGACAGCAGGGTCCCAGGCTTCATTTAATGAAGTAGTGCCTGTTTAATGCAGCAAACCCATTGGCCACAAAGAAGCATTTAATGCATGAGGGAAGGTGGGAAGTGACTGAAGTCAGGATTTGGTGATGAGGATCAGAGTGATTAGACGTGGACATTCTCACAAGAATTCTGACAGCCTGAGATATTGGTTCACCAGCTATCCAGGCCATAAATGCGTCTCCACGGCCAGAGGCTCAAAACCCCACGATCAAGAGCGGCGGCCGAGATTCACCGGGATTTCTGGGGTCTCACCACCATACTTCACGATCCCAAATGTCGATTGGACTGCCCACTTGCGCTAATCAGACTCCACTATGCGTAAATTCTTTTTTCCTGTAATGCACTTTCAATATCTTTACTTGCTTTCCTAGGAGTAGTGTTAGGTTGTAAGCAGAATCCATTCATCAATATATCATACGACCCTTGATTTTCAAGGCGCCGGAGCACCATCCTTGTTGTTCGTTCACTCACCCCATATATCATACGACCGTCGCTCCCTGAGCAGCGCGCCGGAGCACCGCCCAAAACCCACCACCAACACCATCACTCGACGGCCTTGTAGTTCAGGCCGTGAACCTAACAGCCGAGACCAGTTCCTCTCTCGGCTACAATCGTTTGACTAGGAAGACAGATCAAACAGGCGTACCACTTATCCATCCAACACTCATCAACACATCAACGCACGGTAGACCGTGCTGGCACGCCCGCGCACAACCGCACCGCACCCAAAAGCAGGAAACCCCGTGTTAACGCACATCCCCTCGGCCCGGAACTCCAGGCCGTGAGATTTGCGCGGTAGACAGCAGCATCCCACATGAGATAGGCAACGCAACCCAAATTCATGTGCTCGACCTTTCTTTAAATCACTTAGTTGGGGTGATTCCAAAGGCTTTTGGGAGACTGACATTTTTGGAGAAGTTGATGTTGAATGGAAATAAACTTTCGGGTTGTATACCCTCAGAATTAGGATCATTGAGTGATCTTGAATATCTTGACTTGTCAGCAAACAAATTCAATGAGTCAATTCCGAGCATTCTAGGCTACTTGTTCAGATTGCACTACTTGAATTTGAGCAAAAACGAGTTGGCTCAAGCAATTCCATTGAAGTTGGGGAAGTTAGTTCAATTGAATGACCTAGATTTAAGTCACAACTCACTTGAAGGTAAGATACCATCAGAAATGAGCAACATCCAGAGTTTGGTGACACTTAATCTTTCCCACAACAATCTTTCGGGTTTCATACCAATGAGTTTCGAAGACATGCATGGCTTGTCGTATGTTGACATATCCTACAATCACTTGGAAGGTCCCCTTCCCAACACCCGCGCATTTCAAGAAGCTTCGCCAGAAGCATTAAAAGGGAACAAAGGATTGTGTGGCAAAGTTGGAGCACTGCCACCCTGCAATCAACATGGGACAAAACCTCACCAAAAAAGGGTTTTTGGAATAACATTCTCCCTTCTTGCAGTATTTGTACTTCTATCTGTTTTCTTTACAATTGTCTTTGTAGTGCAAAGGAAGAAGAAGCATCAGGATAAAGAACAAAACAACATGCATGAAGAGATTTCCTTTTCAGTTTTAAATTTTGATGGAAAATCAATGTATGAGGAAATCATAAGAGCAACATAAGATTTTGATTCCATATATTGCATTGGGAAGGGAGGACATGGAAGCGTCTACAGAGTGAATTTGTCATCTGCCAGTGCCAACGTTGTGGCTGTGAAGAAACTTCATCTTGTGTGGGATGGCGTGACAGAATTTCAGAAGGAGTTCTTAAATGAAGTAAGGGCACTCACTGAGATAAGACATCGGAATATTGTGAAGCTCTATGGTTTTTGCGCACATAAACGACACTCGTTTTTGGTGTACGAGTATCTTGAAAGAGGTAGCTTGGCCGCAATCTTGAGCAAAGAGGAAGAGGCTAAAGAGTTAGGGTGGAGCAAAAGGGTGAATATTGTAAAAGGTGTAGCTCATGCCTTGTCTTACATGCACCACGATTGCTTGTCACCAATTGTACATCGTGACATCTCAAGCAAGAACATTTTGTTGGATTCTGAATATGAGGCCTGTGTTTCAGACTTTGGCACTGCTAGGTTTTTAAATCCAGACTCAACTAATTGGACTTCTGCTGCAGGCACATTTGGCTACATGGCACCAGGTAATTAGTATTGTCATTCTCTGTTTTCTGTGTTTAAAACATTTAAACATTTATTTTTAGACCAATGATTAACATTAACACATTGCACTTGTTTGATTTTGAAAATATAACTATTAGATATTTTTGTCATGAATGGTGATCGAAACTTTTCTTCTTCTTCTTCTTTTTTTGTTGTTTTTTGTTTTCATTAGCCAGGTTTTATTAAATTTGATTTGCGTAAGCTATTTTATTTGGTTTTCAAATAGGACTAAATTTCCTCGAAATTGTAGGTTGTGTGTTTCAATGAATTATTAGTTTGATTGGGAAATTGTCACTTCCTCGCATAATTGTCTCTTGTACATGTGTACAATTGATGCATGATAAAATTTCTTCTCTGAGTTTTTTTCTAAGCAGAGCTTGCATATACGATGGAAGTGAACGAGAAGTGCGATGTTTTTAGCTTTGGAGTTGTCACACTGGAAGTAATTATGGGAAGCCATCCAGGAGATGCTTTCTCATCTTTATCATCTGGGGCGTCATCGTCGTCCTCATCTGCATCACCAGCCCCTGAAATGCCAATTTCGGATGTTCTGGACCAGCGCATCTTGCCACCCTCAAATCAAGAAGCAGGGGAGGTGGTCTCTCTTGTGAAGATAGCATTTGCATCCTTGAATCCCAATCCGCAGTGTCGTCCAACAATGAAGAAAGTTTCTCAGCTCCTCTCATCAACTCAGAGGCTACATTTGTCAAAGCCATTGCATATGACAACATGTGGTGAATTGCTTGCTCCTGATGGTTTGACTTCCTGATGAGGAGATGTGCTGCTTTTCTATATTTCACTTCGTTCGTGTCTGCCTTTATCTAATTCTTCTTAAATGTTTGGTATTTCGAAATGTTTTTCCTTATGAAATGTATGTCTCACGTTGCCACCTAAAGTATTATGAATATTAGTGAATGCCACCCAAATTGCAACAAAATCATAACTTAGAGGACAATTAATGTGATGAATCAATATTATCTTGGAGGTACACATTGAGACACGACACAACATTCGGTTAATGTTTGGATGGCTAATCGATATATATAATGGTGTATTTCCTCTTTTTTTTTCCTTTGATGGTCCAAACTCAAAACAACATAGAAAAATAAAATTTTGATTTGCAATAAGTTCTGCTTTTTTCGTGGAAGGCTCATGATTTGCTTTTGACTTGGAGATAAGCAGCCAAAGAAATGGAATAGGAAATTGGACTAAAATGTATACCGGGACATATCAAGCAAGAACATTTTCCTGGACTAAAATGATTTGCTTTTGCTTGCTCTGGATGGTTCAACGACCTGACAAGAGAATATGCTTGTTTTCTAGATTTCAGTTTATGTGTCTGCCTGCGTTATTCAAATTATTTTTAAATGCGTTGCCTTAATATGGTACTCTATCTTATGCCCACTTGTGTGTCTTGGCTCATACTTTAACAAAGGTTTTTCCTTGTGAGAGGGAAAGAAAAAATGAAACAATAATTTCTTCGTACAATGACATGGTTTAACGTGTTGTATGTGTGTGTGTTCGGTTCTTGCCACTGTGAAGGAAGTAAGTCAGTGGGAGTTTTGACTCAAGACACAAAATGCAAAATGCAATTACTTCAACTTCTTCAAAGTTAACAGACAAAGACTTTGACTCAACTGTCTGAAAACCCCAAAGAGTCTTCCCAAATCGTCTTCTAATTATGAAAATAAGATTTTGGAAAGACCTTTCAAGTCTTCCACTCTGAAAACTTGTGGAAAAGAGAGTAGGCCATGATCGCTTGCATGGATTGGTGATATGAGAAATCTTACACGGCAATCTGTTTGGAAATAAACTTTCCGGTGCTATTCCTAAAGAGGTAGGGAACTTAAACTTGATTCAAGTTTAGTTTTTTTTATTTTTTATTAACTTCTTTTAAACTTGATTATGTAAAATGAATGACGTATTTGCTTTTTCTTTCTTCTTTTTTTCTTGATAGTCCAAAATCAAAATGACATGGAAAATGAAATTTGGCATTTGTTTCAGTCTCTGGAACCTGGACTCAACTAATTGGGAAGTCTTCTCTCTTGCTGTGACGATAAATCGTTGGCATAAATAATGTCAATCCACAATCTCGTCAAACAATGAATCAAGTCTCTTAACAAGGGTATTTATTACAGGTAGTGTCTTTAGAATTCTTTTTTTAGTCCTCAAACTTTCAAATCAATCAATATGATCTTTTATATTTTGCTCTACACATCAATTTGGTCTTTATTGTCGCATTCCAACAAAACTTTATTAAAATTGGTCACATATCATCACCTCACCAACTTTAAAGGATATTTCATCAAAATAAAGCTCAATTTAGTCCTAAAACTCAAAATTTTGCTCAACAAAATCATCTACTTTCCATTTAGGATTTCAAATTCAGGTTTCGTCAAGGAGAGTACACAGCCTTGTTGAGCAAAATATGTAATTTTTTACTATGTTTTTCAGGGTTTCAATTCCTTCATGCAAACAAAGTGTTAAGGATCACATTGATTGATTTGAAAGTTTGAAAACTCAAATGAGAACTTTTGAAAAATTTAAGGACCATTCATGTTTGATTTTATTTCAATTTAAGGACATGTCCAAATTTCCTTCCAATTTCTTAATGGAATAAACACGTGTCTCTTACTAAGGGGATATTTTGGATGGAAATTTGGATGTATCCTTGAATTGCGATATAATCAAACTATATGGGTTAAATTGACAAAATTAAAACTACAGGGATCAAAGTGGAAAAACCTGCTAACAACACGGACCAAAAGTGATATTTCCCCTTTTTAAAAAGAATGAATTAGGGTTTAAGTAGTCCGACAACCATTACAGTTGAGAAGGTAGGGTACTTTGGTAGTTCGACAACCATTACGCCCATTTAGTGTGGAATATTCACCTAATCCTCTGAGACATACTCTTGTTTTTTTTTTTTGGGTACTTGTTTGTCACCTTTGTGTAAAAATAAAAAAAATAAAAAAAGCATTTGCTTCATTTTTTATAGTCTTACAAATCTCATTTAGACGGTATGACCCATAAAAATTGTCTTGATCCAATTCAATCCAAATCAAACCACCAAACTGACGCATCCTATACGAAACAATAAGAATACATTTCCAAAAATAAAAGAAGAAAAACAGAGAATATTGAATGATCTTTTCAGTCGTGTGCGTGAGCCCCATGGTGAAGATAAAGTCAATTAATCCTACGCGCAGAGTCATTTTCAGAGAGCAGTAGCCCCACTAGCCCGAAGGAAACCCAAAGTGAAGTGACAGCCACTGCCAGGTCTCTTTGGCCTTCTTGATCATCCATTCACATTACTCAACAACAGTTCAATGTGGGACACATTTAAACCCCTTCTGTCAAGCATACAACAAACCTTCTTTGATGATCCACCAATAACATCCATTAAGCTCTCACTTCCATCAATTTCATTTCATTAAAAAGATAAGAGACAGAGACTTTGACTGAAGATATGGAGATAATTGTGTCTTTCTTTCCTATATTTCAGTGTGTGGGAGTTCTAATATTTAATACTTAGACAATTTTATTGGAACCTAACAATTTTCATTTCAATATTTTAAGTTCTTTGTAGTGCTAACAATGGCAAGCTCACGCAATAATTATGAGGTTAGGAAATTTTGGAAAACAAGTTTACGAAAGCAAAGCATTAATTTCACATTCCTATTCCTATTCCTATGTATGGTAAATCAAAACAATAAACGAAAATTTTGCGTTTAGTTTTTCTAACACAAATAGTGCCAAGCATGCAGGTGGGACACATGTAGCAAAAAATGCAAACTTAATCCAGAAAATGCATTAATTGACATTGCAACTTTAAAGAATGAGAGACATAGACTTTGACTCAAGTGTATGGAAGACTCCAACCATTGTAAAATTGGAGTAATTTTTGGGTGTTACGGGTACACCACGTGGTTAGTGTACCATCCAATAGACATAGTATGTTGAGCAAATTTAGAGTACACAACTCTAATGTAGAGACTTGTTGGAGACAAAACAAGTAAACAATTTACTTGTATTAGACTCACAAAATATTACAACAAGACAACTCTCAAAGGAAAGACAAATTCTTACAAGGACTCTTTCTCTCTTCACTCACACTTCTCACAAGAACTACTAACTCTCTAGCTCACTCTACTTATTCACACTCTTCTTGTTGACACACTTCTTGATTCTATACAATGCATGGCTTTATGCCTATTTATAGTTGTTCTAGCCGACATAGCTCTCCATTCCATTGCCTTTGCTACATAATTCTTTTACTTTCTAGACTATTCTCCATTCCTAGCCGACATAGCCTATGTAACTTTCTAGAATCAACTACATTAATCTATTACAATACTAGTTACTAGGTCGGTGGAACTTCCTTCACTTTTCCAGATTTTTCTCTACTTATCTAGCTCAAATGTTGACTTCCTTTTCTAGGCTTTATTTCCTTTTATACTTCTAGAACTTTGTAGAGATTGCTCCTCAAAATAGGTTGAGCTGGGGTTGATACTTTAACATGGCCAACATACATGAAATTTTGTCAGGCATGGCACTCATGGAATGAAGGCAGGGGTTTGGAGTTGGTTGATGAAGTATTGGCATATTCATATTCACCTTCAGAATCTCATGGATTTCTATTTTTGAAACCCAAAGGCATTGCATATGCAAGGGTCAAGTTTCAGATTGGCAAGCACTTGGAATTGCATGCGATTATATTGGAGTTTTGCCTCAGTTTAGGTGCACATTGATGTGCCCATTTTTTTCACAAACATGATCCAATTGGTATTTGGTATAACAAACACAAGCAACATATACAAGTTTTGGCATGCAGCTAGCATACCAAATTCACAAAACGTAAGTGGGGATAAAGGGAACCAAGGTCCCAAGAAGGAGTTGTCCAAAAGATGCAACTCCCACACAAAACTCTCGTCTGGGGACTTAGGGGATTTCTATTTGTGTGGTAAAATACCTCTGACTGTATAAATAGCCAGTCAATGAATTGGTAATTGCGTAGGCAAGAACCTAAGGCATATAAACCCTAATATCCCCTCAACAACCTTAAAGAATATTTGTATGAGTGCAAACTCTG